CCCTGTGCACAGCAGAGCCAAATAAATAGGCCTGCCCTGGGCCAACCTCACAATTGTTTGAGGCCATTGTTTCAGCCACTGTGTAGAGCAGCAGTTCTCAATCTGTGGGACACGACCCCTTGGAGGTCAAACGACCCTTTCACAGGGGTCGCCCGATTCATCACAGTAGCAAAATGACCGCTATGATGTAGTAACGAAAATAAATCTGTGGTTGGGGGTCACCACCACATGAGGAACTGGATGAAAGGGTCACCGCATGAGGAAGGTTGAGAACCCCTGTGTAGAGGGTCTCCCTCTTTTACAAGCATGATGCCCTTCTCTAGGAACTGGTCTAACCTGATAACATGTCCAAGGTACATGAGACAGACTCTCACCATCTTCACTTCCAAGGAGCGTTCTGGCTGCACTTCTTCCAGGGCAGATCTGGTTTTTCTTTTGGCAGTCCGTGGTCCTTTCAGCAATCTTTGCCAAAACTGGAATTCAAATGCATCGCTTCTTCTGCACTCTTCTTAATCCAATGCCCAACTTTCCCATGCGCATGAGGCCATTGAAAATACCACGGCTCCCAGCTTGCTACTCCCCTTCAGGAAGGGGCACGGAGGAGACAGGTGCTCTAGCAAAGTGTGATGAAGAAGTTAGATGGTGCCCATCTATCAGATAAAATAGCGCCTGGGGTCTTAAAGGCTTGTCTCCAAACAAGTAGCCATCTAAGTGAGATGTCGACGAAGCCCACATGGAAGAAGCACACCATCATCGGTCACCAAAGGACTGTAGATCATATAATCCAAAGCCAAAGGAGGGATTGGTATCAGAGCCTGAATTGTGAGAATCTGGCTTGCAGAAGGCTATGGATGACAGTGGGATTCATTTGTCAAACTAAGTAGGAAATAAGCCTTCTGAGAAACCTCCCCCACCCCTATCTAAAATTGAGGGAAGGGAGCAAAGTGGTCACTAAGCAGAGTGCTTGGGAAAGAGAAGTATAGAAGATTAAAGGCATCAATCTGTCCTAAACACTTAAACTTTGTCAGTAAATCCCCCCTATGATGGGGCTGGACCTGATCTGGTTTCCAAAATTTTCTGTATTTTTGGTTTATATTGTTTTCTTCTGTTTTGTTCATATTAGAGTGTATCTCAGGGTGGTATGTCAATGGAGGTCACTCTCTCTTGAAGCTGTGTTACATGATTTTATATTTTTAGGTACATGAAACCTAGGACCAATGAGCTTAGAGGGATAGCAAGTAGAATAAGGGGTTTGGGGGGAGGGGTGCAGTGGTGGAGGTGGGGTAAAAGGGAGACAATGTCAAGGAGTCCATGAGGAAAAAGATTATTTGAAAACTGATAGTGGTAGCAATTGTATATTCTACTTGATGTGATTGAAATTTCAAATGATATGCCATATGTATTAAAACTGAGCTAATAATAATAATGAAATGCATCTATCTCTTACAAATTAAAAAAGAAGAAGAAAATACCATGGCTTGGGTCAGGCTCACCTTAGCTGTCAGAGTGACAGCCTGCTCTTCAACACTTGAAAGAGCTCTTGTGCACCAGACTCGCCCAGTGCAATGCATCATTTGATTTCCTGACTGCTGTTTCCATGAGCATTGAGTGTAGACCCAAGCAAGAGGAAATCCTTCATAATTTCCAGGTTCCCTCTATTTATCAGGATGTTATCTATTGGTCTGGTTGTGAGGATTTGGGTTTTATTTACATTGAGTTGAAATCCATATTAAAGGCTGCGCTCTGTGATCTTCAAGGCCTGCTTGTTCTTGGCAAGCAAGGGTGTGTGTCATCTGTATACTGCAGATTGTTTATGAGTTTCCTCCCATTCTGGTGTCACCTTCTGCATTCAGTCTAGTGTCTTGATCACCTTCTCAGCATCCAGATCACATGGGCATGGTGAAAGCATACAGCCTGCCTCACGCCTTTCCTGAGCTGGAGCTATACGAGCACAGTGCTCCTTTGTTCTGTTTGAATGGTAGTTTCTTGGTCTATGTATATGTTTCCCATGAACACAATAAAGTGTTCTGGAATTCCCATTCTTCTTGTGTTAGTAGATCCAATACCAATCTATAAAGTCCTCTT